CCGGTTTCTTTGGTGAACTTGTGCCGAAGTTCATTTCTTACAAATAAAAGCGCGATTATTTATTGCTCACCTAATCGAAATGTTCTCCTTAATCTCAAAGCTGATTTATTTTGAAACAAAAGAATACCAGCCGGACTAAAGCCTCTTACGTGTCTGGAGCGGCTTCAGATTTACTTTCAGCACAAAACAAACTGGATCCACGTCGACACGCTTCAGTTATTTTTATTCCCTGTATATATATAAATGAGCTGGATCTCAAAATAAAGCAAATAAAGGGAGATACTGCACTTTTTACTGCTTTTCACATTATTCATTCCTGAGTTTCCTTCATATTAGGAATCAAACTATTTGTATAATTGCATCCTTTTTTAAAAAACATTTTAAATAAATGTCCCTTTTTTGTTATATATTATATAGACAATAAAAAAGACAAAAATATAAATTTACATGTTAACCATTAAAAAGCAGGGCAAATAATATCCGCTATCTGTTTATCAGTCGTAATTCACTGTTTTACAATGACTGAACATAAAATTACACAGTTTTAATGTATTTAAATCAGCAAAAATATCATTATTTTACAGATACTTTCCATTATTTAAAAGAAACATTTGAAGTACAGATACTAACTAATAAAAATCACTTTAAAAATCAAATTAAAAATTACACGTTGGGTGTAAAAAATGAATAAAACAGGCTAAAACTGTAAACAACGTCCTCATAAAAATATGCATTTTTACTAAAAGTCATTTGTTCTTTGACAATATCAGCACAAGATATTCTACAGACATTTCATTTACATGTTGACTGTAAAGAAAAACATTTACAAGGTGTCCACATCAAAAAGCTGTAATTTTACAAAAAAGTATTTTATTTTATTTTATTTTTTAATATTTGAACGATTGACTGACAAGCGGTGAATCATTTTTTAACGGTTATAAAATCACAGAAAGAAAAGCACAAATAAACTGTACGTCTTTATTAACTACTGAAAAGCTGTAAAATAAAAACAAAACAACATTTTTATTTATTTATTTTTATTTGTTATTTTTATTCTATAAAAACAAAACAAAACAGGTCACATCTGACATGTTAAAAAAATATTCATTCATCATGTTTGACTCTGAAATAATGTGGTTTCATGTATTCAACATTTGCTAAAATCCTTATTTTACAAATATTTGCTGTTATTTGAAAAAGAAAGACGGTAAATCAGTCTTTAAATGCTATTTTACAGGTTTTTTTCCGAGTTGTTGCTAAAATCACAGAAAAAAGTTGTAATTTACATGTTAATTGTAAAAAAGAAAAAACAACAACAACAACAAACAAACAACAACCAAGCTGGCCAAAACTGAAGGCACACATCAGAACTCTGTTGTTTTACAGTGTTGGACAGTTTCACTGTACGAAAACAAAAACAGCATCACAGATGTGTGCTGTGTTGTTTTTATCCATCATGTCCACAGCTGTGAACGCTGCAGTACTCACTGTTAAACGTGTTTAAATGGATCCTCTGCTCTCAGATTTTCAGCTGTTTATTTTTTGCAGTGCACATGTGATTTAAAGGACTCCTGCTCCTCCTTCTTCTGCCCAGGTTGCGTTTCATGTGTCCTGAACTGAAAAAGCACAAATGAAAAATGTTTTCAGTCCCTTTTTTTTAAAAAAAAAACACACAAAAAAACACTTTATTCGTTTTTTTGTTTTTTTTTCTTTATTTTCCAGCTTCTCGTGTTTTTTCTGTTATTTTGCAGTTGTTGTTGTTTTTTTTTTATTCCGTGTGGATGATTGGAGGCAGCTTCCTTCACTCCATTGGCTCCCTGCGCTCACCACTGACCAATCACAGGCTCCGATGCTGAGGACCTCCTCACGCGGGGCCTCGTCCCGCAGCAGGTCCAGTCCGAGCCGGAGCGCACCATGGCGCCGCTGTCCATCCAGTCCGGGGTGAAGTACGCCAGAACGCTGCTGCCGGAGACGCTGCTGAGGTGAGTCCAGACTGACGGGGACACGTGTCACCGTTTTACGAACCTTTACTGCTTCGGTGTTTTTTTTTTTGTGTTTGTTTTTTCTAATCTGATTTGTTTCCTCAAACCACCTGCGCGTAAAAGTTGGTGCAACAAATGTGCACATTGAACCTGACAATGAAACCGTTATCGAGTTTTTATTTTCATTTTTTAAGACTAAAATCAATGAATCCATTATTATCAGCAGCTGCAGCGTGTTTCTGGAGGTAGTTTTGTTTTGGGATGATTTACATCCATAATCATGCAAATTTGTAATCTGTGGCCAAAACGTTAAAACAAAGTTATCACCAAAATAACACCGAGCATTTAAATCAGAAAGAAAACAAAAACAATTTGCTTTTATGTTTAAAAAAATAATTAGAAAAAAAGTACATGAACTACATTTTACCCTAAAATTGCTGTTTCACTGTTTTTAAATTTGCAAAAGATATCAAACTTTTCTTTTACACAATTTTACAAATATCTGGTTTAAAAAACGCTGTAAGTAGCATCCACATAAAAAAAAGAAGATTTGTTCGTTTCCAGCTTCCTTGTTTCCGGTCTCTAAACCTGCATCACAGATCTACCCTCAGACTAACAGATCAATTAATCCTGTACTTCACGTGGTGGCAGGTCCGTGTCGTCGGTCCACACCACCATCTCCCGCCACATCCTGCCGTCGGCCCAGTCTCGCTGCTTCAAGGTGTGCAGCTCCAGCCGGAGGCGGCGCCGAGGCCTGGAGGCGGCGTCCCTGGACGAGCTGCTGGAGCAGGTGAAGCAGAGGATCCCGTCCGAACAGCACAAACTGACTTTCTTTAGAGGGAGCGGGTTTCTCCTCCTCCTGCTTCACTCTGGTTCCTGGTTTTTGCGTCCCAGGCGGCGAGAGTGTTCATGCTGTCCTGCCACTTCCTGACTGTGGTCCTGGAGGAGGACGGGACGCCGGTGGACTCGGAGGAGTTCTTCCAGTCGCTGCCCAGCAACACGCCGCTGATGGTGCTGGAGAAGGGCGAGATGTGGACGCAGAACAAGGTGCTGAGAGTTATTTTTGCACCGTTCAGGGTTAAAACTCTAAATCGGTAGGTTTGATCTCCACAAATAATGAGCCTGTCCAGCAAAGTTGTATTTTCTAAAGTTGTGTGAGGTTTTAATCCTTAATGTTCATTAGTATCCAGTAAAATGTGTTTTCTATAGTTTTTGTAGCATTTGAAAATTTAAGTAAATCGCTAAGACGCACCAGGACGCACAAACGTACACGGAGACTCACC